AAATAACAACGGCGCTATAGACACGACCTTAGGAAAATACCTTCGGTCTTAGACATCTTAGACAACGTGATTTGGTGAACATATAATACCTTTGTGCTTGCTTAGATGAAAACTACCTCCTTCAATTCCTTTGTTCACACAATCTCAATCCGCCTACTTTTCCAGCTTGCTTTCGACCCAAGGCAATTTTCAATGACGAGTGGTGAAATACGTTCAGAATGCTAAGCATCTTGATAAAATACCGATAATTCTCTCGTTCAACCCTTACCTTCCTTTCCTAAAAAATATAACGTTCATTACAGTCAGCCAACCAGAAAAACTAGCGAACGCGAACTCCAACGCGTTTAAAACATGAAATCAACATCAACAAATGCACCAACCACCTGTTGCTAGTAAGTCTAAGTTCCGGCCTAATTGTCTGCGCCAAGTACACCTTCAGATCTTACAACCGCTCACATCGACTTCTGTTGCGTCGGCCGTCTCGGAAAAGCCTCATAAAGTGCAGTTATTGTGGAAAAATCAGCTGGGCAGGGTGCGGTCTTCACGTAAACGATCTCTTGGACAAGGTCAGTCTTCACAAGTTCGCTTTTTTTGCTAGTTTCTTGGTTAAAGTTTTATTTATGTCCCTAGATCCGCTGGGAGCTGCGGTGCCAGTGCTACAGTAATTCGAGGAAGCGCGAATAGTTTTGTCTAGCACGAGCCGTCATTCGACAATACTTCTTGGGGTTTCAAATATATGAAGACTATGTGAACATTCAGAGAGGACTTATCACATTCGATCGACTGCCCATTCCATTCATAGACCAACATGTCGCATTCAAACCTCAACACTTATATCGATTTAGGTTGAATTTTACTGTTTTATAAAGTTAGTTTATAATAGTGCTAAATAAAACAAACGCTGGTACCTTATTCTTAATCAATCTTAGTAGTACCGCGTCTTCAAATAGGCCATTCACACAGAAACATGGATTCCTTGAAAACAGATACCATAGAAAAAAGCTTCATGGCTCATACTTATGTACAAACCTCCATCTCTCTTTTTTTATTTAGTTTTTGCTTTGCATTAGCATTACTTTTGCAATAATTTCTCTGCATGTGAATTCATACTCTTCAAAAATCAAGGGCTCAAGAACATGTTTGCTTGCCAAAATTTGAAAACATTGCAAATTGGCATTTTTTGCTACCACTGTCGCATGCGAAGTTATGAATTGAGGTTCTTACCTTCAAAAAAACATTGGTCTCATACCTTGACTGAGTTGGCTCAATTTTTGCATGGTATTTGAAATGGTCTTACACTGATTCATTCACTTGTGTTGCTTACTTCTTGATACAAAGAAATGTAGTATGGGACTATTAATGGATTGAACCCATAGGGTATCAATATCAATACCAAAAATAGCCAATAGAGGCTGTTTTTGGTCAATAAAACCTAAATTATGTTGTAAAACATCAAAAGTGTTGAAAATTAAACTTTTCTGATAAAAATAGTGATAAAGGGAAAAAATTCTATAGGGGCTTCAAAGTTTAAGTCAAGTGTCCAACAAATGACACTCTTATATATTTCCATAAGCCCTGAAAAGAAGTTCAAGTGACCTATTGGAACATGTGAGCTTCATTTATTAGATGCTTTATTGGAAATTTGGCAACCCCAAATGGCCAATGTTTGAGATCAATCATTGTAACATATTTATAGGGGGGGCGCTCATGATTGAAATATTGGAAATTTGGAAACTAATTTCAAGGGCTTAATACACCAGGAATAATTAACAAATGAGGTGCCAAAAATGAAGGTCTAACCACTGTAAAGAAAGTTCAGATACCACTAAATCTTATAAACTCAAGAGAATGCAAGATGTTGCTTGCAAACAACTTTAAATGGCTCTAAAGTTAAAATTGTGAACCGCTCTGATTGATTATGATGTTCCAGAGAAAATTAGCACACAATTTAAGGACTCTGTATCGCAGTTCACTGAACAAGTAAAGTTGAAGTGGATTGCAAGGACTTATTGTCTTGGGAGATATCAGAACCCCAATCTGAATGAATTGCTAGGCCAGAAGGGATTGAAGTAAGTAAATTTCTCTACAGACAAGATAGAAGAAAATAGAAACTGAAGATTTGATAAAACTCAAAAAATCTCTACTGAGCTAGAACTGGTAAAAATGATATTGGAATAGTCCAGCTATCATATCTTGTGTGATCTTCTGAAACCAGGGATGGTCCAAGGTTTCACAAAACCTCATTCTATTTAAATAAACTTCTCATGATGCAAGAATAGAGCTTTGAAAAATCATACTCTTGCTTTTCAGACTTAATAAAATCCACTCCAAATCAAGTGCTGTGATTGACCAGAAAACCACAGTATCTCGCAATCAGATATTTGCCCCACAAAATGAAATTCTTGCTCTATTCCAATATCAAAACCTCCTCCAATGACTAGTATTAATATGTGAGTGCTTCTGATGAATTGATATCAGCACAAACAAAGCATCTCAACAGATTGTTAGCCCCACCTCCAAAGACATTGTACAGTCACCTCCTGATTGTTTATGGCGGGTTGTTTTGGATTATGAAACCTCAAGTTCTCAACCTACCAACTTGAAATCATGAGACTTGGACAAGTGGTAATTAAAGATAGGTTTCAAAAAAATGATTCTGAAAAACAAAAACAATGTGAAAAAAATGATTTTCAAAATTTGCAAGAAAATATTACAATTATGGCACTTTTTTCAGAAGTTTCAATATTGCTCTGAATGATGAAATAAAAATTGGAAAGAGTAGAATGGTATTCAAGAAGAATGATAATAAATGGAAAAAAAATCAACCCCAGAAAACTTTCAGAGCTCAGCATCAAGGCCAAAATGCAAGTTGGATTTGATCAATTTTCCACTGCAAGTCAGATGAATGCCTCACTCCACACCAGTTTGAAACCACCTGGTAGTAATTTTGTTCAAAATTTTAATTTATTATCATTCCTCCAGCATACCATACTGTGATTTCCTGTTTTTATTAAAACTTCTGAATTGGAGTAATATTAAACCTTCTGAAAAAAGTGCAATAACTGTCATATTTTTCTGCAAGTTTAAAAAAAAATCAGGTTTTTCGTATCTTTGTTTTCAGAATCATGTTTTGAAACCTGTTTTATACCACTTGCCTGAGTCTCATGATTTCAAGTTGGTGGTTTGGGGTTGTGTAGTCCAAACAAACCAGCCATAAACAACCGGGAGGTGACTGTACCACTGAGGCCCCATTTGGCTGTCTGTGATTTGTAATCTTGAGGCAAGGTTTGGCACGAGTTTGTGCAAATATTTTATATTGTTTTATATTGCACGGTCAAAATCTCCGCCAAACCTTAGCCAAATCACGTATCATGATTTATGGCCAAACAGGGCCTGAATAATGAGGTACTTCATAACATAAGGCTTACAGACAGCAATCCACAAGCATCAAGCTAGCCAATAGCTTCAGAAAATTGCAAGGAAACTAACTAGCTGGAGCACAATTAGAGCTGGTCGCTACGCATCCGGATATCCGTGCGGATGCGGATATCCGGCTGCTTTTTCAGGCCAAATGGCCATCCGCATCCGCATCCGCACACACTAGCGGGTATCCAAGCGGGTATCCACGGATACCCGCCCTTTAAAGGGCCGGCAAGGCGGCTGGAAGGAAATCCTTCCAGCCGTTGAGGTACATGTACCTCGTCGGCTGGAAGGGTTTCCTTCCAGCTGGCGAGGTACATGCTCGACGGCTGGAAGGAAATCCTTCCAGCCGTTGAGGTACATGTACCTCTTTGGCTGGAAGGATTTCCTTCCAGTTGACAAGGTACATGTACCTTGTCAACCGGAAGGATTCCCTTCCAGTTGACCAGCAAGGTACATGTACCCCGCCGGCTTGAAGGGTTTCCTTCCAGTTGACAAGGTACATGTACCTTGTCAACCAGAAGGATTTCCTTCCATTCAACCGGCGAGGTACATGTACCCCGCCGGCGAGAAGGGTCTCCTCACAGTCAACAATGTACATGTACCTCGTCGACTGGAAGGATTTCCTTCCAGCTGTCAAGGTACATGTGTACCCCGCCGGCTGGAATGGTTTCCTGTCAGTCGACAAGGTACATGTACCTCGTCGACTGGAAGGATTTCCTTCCAGCTGTTGAGGTACATGTACCTCGCCAGCTGGAAGGAAACCCTTCCAGCCGGCCATCTGCCCTTCCGGCCTCGGGTATCCGCTGAGATACCCGGGTATCCACTGGAAAATCAGGGGAAAGGGCACATCCGCACCCAAACCCGCATCCGCTGGCGGGTATCCGCTACAGCGGGCGGGTATCTGCCAGCGGATAACGGATATCCGCAACGGATATCCAGAGACCAGCTCTAAGCACAATGAGGCTATGAGCTAGAACTACCCCATCAACCAGGAAGAAATCGTCCAGGCTGATGTGCACCACCAACCAGGAAGAAATCCTTCATGAAATGCTCGCAAAAAAAAAAACAAGGTCCTCACAAGTAGCAGGGTTCATGATAGGATTTTGTCAGGAAGAAAATCAAGCTACTCAGTATTTGGGAGCGCTCAAACCTTGGCTTAATTTTTAGACAAAATTAAGCTTAATACTTAACCAATCGAGGAAAGTTTTTGTGAAGTTTAAGCCTTAATCTGCACTCAGGAACCCTTAAAGCTTCCTCAGCTCAGGAAGCCTTTGAGGTTCCTGAGTTGGGATTCTGAGCTGAAATCCAGGCTTAAATTAAGCTCAGGATTTCATAATACAGGAAAAATTTAAGCCGGGTTCAGAAAGCAAAAAGCTTATCGTGAACCCCGCTAGTGTACATTTGACATGAAACAATTGCCTATGAAAGGGGTCAAAAAATCAACACACATGTGCAAAAAAAACAGTGTATAACTTATGAGTGGAAGTGCAGAAGGGCACTCTACAAATCCTCAACAACAAGAACTAAAGAAAGGGTACTGTACTAAGGAAGAAGAAGGATTAGAATTAGAGGTATTGATAGAACAAAAAAAAAAACATGGTCAAAAGAAATGAGTCACACAGATAAGGGAATATAAGGGAGAAAAGAAAACGGGGTTATAGGAGGACAGAAGACTGTGCAATCCCAGATAAGCTAGACCTCCAAGAGCCTTTAATCCACCCCCCCCCCCCTATTCCTCCGTTTTGACCACTCATCCACACCAGACCAAAAAAAAAAGAAAAAAAACTAAAGCAAAGAAAGATTGATTGGAGACGCAGGAGAACCCAGACACCTTTCAAAAACCAAAAAAAAAACAGAAGGAACATCTCCACAGCAAGAGAGAATAGAGATGAGAGAGAGAGAGACAAGCAGGAAGGGAGAATTAAAAGAGCTAGCTGTCTTGTTTTGTTTGATTGGTCATGTGTCGAGTTAGAGATTCAGGAACAGATGGTGGTAAGACAAACAAAGCACCCTGTTACAGGATGCAAGAACGAGAAAAGGACAAGCCCAAGTCTCCTAATAATGAAGTCAAGACAGTAAAAGGAAGCCAAGTGTGGCAGGGGGTGTGGGTGGGGATCAGAAGGCAAGGAGGGCGAGCCAGTAGAGCGGAAGACATGAGAGACTCTCGGCCGGCTCTCGATGACGAGATCGATCAACAACATCATCGGCATCCACTGAATTCTTCTTTCAGAGTGAGCAGGAGGACTGTGGAGGGTCCCCGACGGGGCCGGAGACACCCGAGGGGTCTGAGGAGAGAGGAGACGGAGGTCTCAGAGGAGGGAGGGGCAGGGCACAGGGGTAGACTAGAAACGGGATGCTCAGAAATCGGTGATCGAGCTACTTTGCATCGAGATCAAGCTACGAGCATCATCGTCGTTGTCGACTGCCCGAAAGTTCTTACCTCCCGCGCCGGCGACGGTTGCAGAAGACAAGCCGGAGACGCCTGGCCCCCGATAGTCCAAGCCGGTGCGGTCGTTCCGACTGCGGCCGGCCAACAGCCGATCGGCCTGCGAATAGGCCGCCACGCTGTCCGTCATGCTCTCCGCAACCGAACTCGCATCGTCCCCTCCTCCCCTCATACTCCGCGAATCTTGGGACTGGAAGTCCTGCGAGATCATCGACGAGGCATAGCTGCTCCCGCCAACCCCCACGACACTCCCCATACCCCCTCCTCCGCCTCGTTTGCTCCCATTCGGGTATCCCATGCTTCGTGAGATCGGTAGACTGAAGGGCGGCAGTCCCGATGCATATGTGGCTTGAGATCGCACCGATTGTGCATCCGATGGAATCGAAAAGGAGTCAACGGTCTTATAAAACGATTGATCAAATCGAGTCGGTGTACTGTCACGACCTAAACCAAATAAAAAGAAAATGTGTCCCTCTTTATTAGATTAACTGTTCTTTTTTTGTCATCATCTAAATCAATCAATCGATTAAACACTTGCCATTCCTGCTGTAGCTGAGATTAGGAAGCTCGCGCGGGTTAGGCTCGAAACGATTGACAGGAAGATCAGCCCGATCGAGTGGTTTCCTGGGCTTAGACAGCTGGACCAAACTAGCTTGTAGATTGTTCAATGGGCCTTCAACCAAGCAAGATTTTTCCTTGTAAGCAGTGAGAAGGAAATGCCAAAGCGCATGCTACAAAAAAAATAGCCAAGAAACATCAGTTATATATATAAACACTGGGTTTTCCTTCCTTAGGGATATGATGGAATTAAAGATACATACTTTGCTCAAGACTTTGGGATTTCCTAGAACCACTACTCCATACTTAGCTCTAGTGAGCGCAACGTTAAGTCGTCTCGGATCATTGAGGAAACCAATGCCTTGATGATCGTTACTCCGAACGCAACTGAGGATAATATAATCTTTTTCACGCCCTTGGAAGGCGTCGACACTAGCAACCTCGATATCCTTATAGAGGTCCTTCTTCAACGTCCCATTAGTCTGCATATAAGTGACGATATATGAGCGTTGGCCCTCGTAAGGGGTGACGATGCCGATCTGACTGGGAAGGACGCCGGCCTTGAAGAATCGGGTGACGACCTTCTCGACGTTCGAGGCCTCGGTTCGGTTGAGGAACGAGGTCCCAGAGGACGAGATCTCTTCCTGGCCCAGATTGCAATGGAAACACATCGGCGTGGTTGGCTGGGGCCAGGGGAAGTCCACATTTTTCTTGATCCGTTCCGGCGCAGTGACTCCATTCTGTAAGGAACCTTCATAGAACATGTTCGATGGAAACTCCGAAAGACAGGGGTGCATTCGATATTGCACTTGTAACCTGATCGGCCGATTGCCCAACAGGACTAAGCGTTCAAACATCGACTGAGTCAACCCAGCCCTCGCCGCCTTTTTGTTCATGATCGTCGGTCCAAGTTGTTGATGATCGCCGACAAAGACAACTTGTTTGACACCTAGAGTCAGTGGGATCATGCATTCTGGTTCAGTCTAGAGTCAGGAATAAGAAAAACAGAGTCAGCCCACTATCTGTGTTGTGAGAACAACCTAATTTGACATACCGCTTGAGTTGCTTCATCTATCAACACTGTTCGGAATTTCATCTTGGCCAATCTGGGATCACCTGCGCCCACACAAGTACAGAGAATGACATCGGCGTTGGTCAAGATCTCACGTTCACACAAGCGTGTCAGAGATTTGTATCTCCGCTCATCAGTGCTACTCAATTCGCCCTGCTCAGCCTTAAGTTGAATGAGTTTTTGAAGGTCAGGATGAGTATCATTATTAGCCACTTGTTGATGAAGGGTGAGATATTGGACGGAGCTATCGATTGCTTCTCGGGATTTGGCTTGGACTCTGACGACTTTGAGGCCGGTCAGATGGATCTTTTCAGTTAATTGATCCACTGCAACGTTCGAGGGCGCACAGACCAACACTTGACCCGGATTCATCTTGCTCAAATGATAGACCACCGAAGCTGAGGTGACGGTCTTGCCTGTCCCTGGGGGTCCTTGGACCAAACTCAAAGGCTTTTGTAGCACACTCTTCACAGCACTAACTTGTGAATGATTGAGCTCAGGAAGGTTTGGAGCCGAAACCCTGTGAAACAGAAAGTAGGTCAATAAGGAACTCTGTACAATGGAGTAACAAATGATAAAGACGGTTTCTCACCGTTTGGGCATCTGCGTCCTGAGCACTTGGGGAACGGGAGTTTCATGTCCTAGCAACTTACGGTAAATGTATCCGCTGACACTTTGATCATCAACTGCAAACGTCTTCATGGCCATTTGCATTCGATCAAATGAAGTTGATTTCCAAACAAAATCAACCGAAAAGTTGACAGTCAACTCGTGCGGTACACCATCATTTCGTCGCAACTCCAGCGCTACTTCATCAGATTGATCTTAACGCAGGGGATGAGGAAATGATGTTCAAAAAAAAGCCAGTGTCAATACGATCGGTAGACCAACCATAATTAAGATTTTTTTGACTAACTGTTGGGAACTTTGATTACATGCCCAGGGCCCTCCCAGGCCTTTTGAAGTTCTCCAGCATATTTCAAACGTAACTCATCGCCAACAGCCAATCTGACTTCCCCACTTTCAAGTTTAGGAAGATAAAAGTATGCAATCCTAGAATGTAACGAAGATGGATTAGCTTGTGCAACTCAAAGAGGGGGCGGATATCAGATTTTTAATTGAATGCTGGTGTACCTTTTCTGATTGAGACCCATGTCCCATCGAACCGTCACATCATTTTGGGTAAGACTTTCCTTCAACTTTCGATCGTAATCACTTTCGATCTTGACGAGTGGACCGAAGATATTTTGGTATTGATAAGCGTCTTCATATCTCAAGAGGATTGGCTGAGGTTCTCCTTCGCCCAGGGCGCCGTCCCGTTCCAAGTCATCCAAGGTAGCCGTCGCGTTCTCCTTCCACATCTCCTCGAGCCTGGTGATTTCGCGGAAGCCGACCGGCTTGGAGCGGACGACTTCCTGCTCGTCTGGGACCTTGACGAGCCAGGAGAGGAACTGACGGTCCTCGATCAGTGGGGACCATTGGGAAGTATCCCAGACCAGATCGCTCTTTGACGAAGGTGTGGAGGCACATGGCTGGCGACAGAGTAACACGACCACTGTGTCTGACTTGGCGGGGATGAAGCCGAGGGTGAAGACGTTCTTGGAGCCACAGTTGTAGCATTCCGGTGTGGTCTCACCTAACGGACCATCCTCATGAAGGGTGACTTCCTTATGTTTTGCCCTGACAAGATGGTTGACGATGTGAGAGCCAGTCGAGTGAGCGCCCGGACCTCCGCGCGAGTTACAGAACCATTTGGAGCATATCAAACACTTGACGACCGATGAAGGGGAATGAATTCCACAGTAAGCACAGGCATGATTGGGTAGTTCTCGATTGAGGTCGTCCAGGACATCTTCGAAATCAGCCTCATTCTCGGCCTGGTTGAATTTGGAGGATTGCTCGGTAGCCGAGTCGGAATGCGATTGATGATCATAATTAGATGAGTTATTGTTGGCTTGATGACGGTTCCGACTCGGTTCCGGATTCGCATCCAATAGACTCAGCTCGTCGAAGTTAATATCATCGATCGTCGATTGACCGTCTCCCTCGACTTGGTGTCGGTTCGTTTGGCTAGCGGCCCTCGTGCTCCCAGAGACAAGGGACAAGCTGTCGTCGTCATCGTTGGCTGGGTTGTAGCTATACTCACTCGCGCCTCCAAGATGTGAGAAATTCTCCATTGATAATCAATCGGATCCACCCGTCGACAGTAAAACGGCTGAAGATTACGACCAGTTGGAGCGATCCAGAAGCTAGTCAGTATGAGCACTCTTTGTGGTTATAAATGTGTGACTCAACTGTTTGTTCGTTTGTTTGTTTTTTAGTTTGTAGTTGTTGCAGTCGATCTGGTTGTGGTTGGTCTCGACTATGTAGCAGCCCCAGCCAACTTCCAGCCTCCCTTGACCCTTGAGAGAAAGCCGAGGAGCCCCCTGTGACTGCGAGCCAGACCCTGCTGCGGGTTGTCATCACATTCACCCAACATCCAGGAAGCCGTTCACTCAGCATCAACATCTGCTCATGTACCAGACACGGCCAAACTGGTTTCCGAGTGGATGTTTGTTTTACTCTTTTCATTTTTGTATGTAGAACATGGGTGAGTCCCATCATCTACTTCAATTTTCCAGTTGGGGCGAACTTGAATGATGGGGCCATCATGGAGCAATCATGACAGGTGCTGATCTCACTGAAACCACTTTTAACTTGACAATGATTGTAGGATAAATATGTACTGAGAATGAAGCCCTACATAAATTTCATAGAAAAGTCATCAAATCGACATGAGAGTGGGTGGTATGAGCACGTATCAAGAACGTATTCCACATGGCCTTGATGTGGAATGAGAAAGATTTGGAGTAAACACTGGGCTGCCATTCTTGCTTTTTTTTTCAACGTCATCAGGAAACAGTGGAGAGAAATCAATTTTACAACCCCCTTACAAAGCTAATTCTACAGGCTGTGAGATGGTTTTCCCAGCAAAAAATTCGCTTAATTACGGCCTGTAATTCTAGCTTTACAAGGCCTCTAAAACCAACGGGAAGTGCTCCAACAACAGAAGATGAACATGATAACCTCACAAGCAATATGCAGGAGTATCTTTCATTATTTCATGTATTACAGTGTTTACACATGTCACATTTGTGGTGTGGTTGTCATGTGTTGTAAAATAAAAGGACAGGAATCCAAAATACAACAGTAAGAAGGGGATGACATATATACATATTTATCTTATCAGACAAGTGAATCATTTTTTCTTTGGGAAGGGAGGGGAGTGAATGAAGATGTAAGTACAATGAGGGCACCAGAAAGAGACACGAAGGAAAAATATGGCCGTTGGTGAGATCCAGCACTCTCGAGCGGCGAAGGGGTAAGGGCAATCGAGGAGATTTTCAGTACTCGACCGAGGGCGCGGGAAACGCGAACCTAGCGGCGACGTGATCATGGACGATCTCGTCTACGAGAGGGACAGTGACGGGCTGGGGAGCGTGATCATGCGCCATCCTTGTGCTCTTTCCGCCGTCCAACTCTCTTTGGAGGCTCATTCTGGGTTCGGGAGTGAAGGTCCGGAATGGGGACGACTGGAAGGTGCGTTGATGGGCCTGTGATGAGACCGTCCATCAATCCATCAGTCAAGTTGATAATCTGCTCTTGTAGTTTTCCATGGTTTCGGATTCAACGGATGGAGTGTAGACACTTACAAAACTTTGAAACCCGGAGTAATGAGGGTTGGAAGAAAAAGGAAGAGCAGTCGTCCCAGACGCAGCAATGGGAAGAGATCCAAGAGGACGAAAGAATCCGGAGAGGATGGTTGAAGGTGGGGTTTGGAGGACGACCGGGTGGTGTTTAGCGACTAAGCCTCTCGAGACCTGTTGGGGGTTGAAGGTTCTGTTACGAGTGACTGCGGACTGATGATAGACAGTCGAGAGTTCAAGAAGGAGTTTCCAAGGTCAGTACTATTACTTGATCCCATTTCTTTGCGAGCTGAGAGAGATGCTGCTGCTCACCAGAAGTCCTTGTTGGATGATACGGTACGAGCGGATGAGCGATGAGGCGATGGAGGTCATCCTAAGTATCTTGTTGTGTTCTGATATCGTAAAATTGCGCAAGTAGATGGTGGAAGAATGTGGTGGTGTGTGGTGTGGTGGTTGTCAGTGCGCATGGGCCATACGAGTTTTTGGAAAGGGCCCAGGACAGAGGGAGCTGTCACAGAGCAGCAACACAGGACTCTCACTGAGATGAGGCACGCCTGTAACAGCACACACCCCGACTAGCTGGCTGTGCAACAAACTGTTGTCCATGTCCTTTCCATCCCATTCGAATCGAAGTGATGATGACGATGAGACAGCCGACAATCAAACACCCATCAAGCAGAAGCCATCCTCCATCCCCGATGGAACAACGATCATCAGCTACTTAAATGACCCTGAAAACACCGAACAGAGCAAGGATGACTTGTTGCATCGTTTGGCTAGTCGGTTGAAGCATGACGATCAAGAAGAAGCTGCAATCCTGGTCGAGGATCATGGACTATTGAGCTTACTCGTATGTCCAAATAGCTGATCCTTTGTCTTGTTGAATTTCTTGTCTTGGAAAAAAAGGGAAAATAGAAATATTGAGTTTTTCATTCTTTTTGATTGTGACTGTATAGGATGATTTATCGTTGGACTTGCCCTCGATCATACTCCATCGCGTCTGTCGTCCCACGAAAACAGAGCCAAGATCCATGCAAGAATCAGATTCAGAAGACAAAACGATCTCCGATGCAAGGATTTGTTTGACCAGTTTGGTTGAATATGGAAGTCCTAAAGAAGTCTTCATGTCTGTAACGACCACCATCCTCCAACTCCTAACCAAGACCTCAAACAGCTCACTCGACGAGCTGGATCATCGACAGTCATCGCCCGAAGATCCCAGCCTATCTGGAACAAACATCATGGATCAGGGACAGATCGACTGGACTTTTCTGAGCTTCATCCTCTCTCCACTCTCCACCGGTCAGTAGGAATGGTAATCCCAAATAGATATCCACGCGTCAGATGATTTATTTACACACACACACACACATCAATCTATCTTGCGTCCAGAATCCTCCAGTGCTGTTAAAGATCCTCCAGAAGTCGCGGAATCCGAGCGGGTTTTTTGATCCGTTCTGTCAGTCCATTCTCGGGCTTCTAGATCGTTGTGGAGGATCAGGATCAGGAAGACGAGAAGAAGGAGTATTTGAGCGAAGGATGAAGATCTACCAAGAGATTGCGGATGTCTGTCACAAGGCAGCCGATCTGCACGGCGATCTGGAGCAGAAAACGCATCTGCTTCTGGCAGTCTCGGTCTCCTTGATCTTCGCCTGCCCATCCACCCAACTACCTCTCGGAAAAGCGTTCCTCTGCCATCGAGACCCCAAGTGGCGCTCCAGCTTCTCACGTCTCCTCCAGGCCGAAGAATCCGTCCCAAAGACTAACAGCTTTGGACGCTTGTTCTTCTCCGATCAACACACCGATCCGGTCAGGAAAATACAGGAAACAGTCGTCGCGCCGTTCTTGGCTAACATCGAAGCTCGGCAGATCAAACAGAAAATTGTCCAGATCGGCGCGCGTTTTGCTACTAGTTTAGAGGATGATAGTTTGGTGAAGTCTTTGGCTGGATTAGGTTATGGTGAATTATCAGGACAGCAGCTCGTCCGAGTCGCTCAACAAGGCGCGTTAGTGATCGCAGCGTTTGACAGATTTAGCAAGATTGGAAAAGAGGAAACGGGCGATCAGTCTCTACCAATGAACATGGAAGCAGTCGAAGCTCTGATCACGCCGACGTTTGTCGAGGCTCCTCTGTTCCTGATCATGTCGGAGCGTCCAGGGGAAGGCCGAGTGAATGAAGAGCTGGGGAGCAAGTTATTAAGCCTGGCTTCGACCGACCCGACCGGCTCGAGCCGGCTACTGATGATGAGAAGTTTGGCATGTTTGGTCGAGGGTCTTGAGCGGCCGTTGGCCCGGCTGGAGCTCATAGGTGCCCTGATTGACCAACACCCCAGTCAACCTAACATCCAAGAGCGCCCTTGTCAGTCTCCTCCGGGAATCCCTCGCCCTTCTTTCGTCCTTCCCTTCTGGCCAGATATGGATCGCGTCATCCAGCTCCTTCGCCAGCTCCTCCTTACGATCATCAACTCGACCCCTCTCGATCTCGAGCTCGTCAAGCAGGCGTTGGACGCCGGCCAGCTTGAAAATTGGAGCTCGATCGACGAACTCTTGAAGTTCATGATCGAACGCCTCAACCTTGTTTATCTCTTACTCAAAATCGATCATACCAATGCTGTAAGCTCATTTTTTTTCTCTTCACATAAATAAAACAAGGCACTTCTCTTCCCTTCTTTTTACTTTTGAAAGATATAACTGTCATCCTGCAGCTGATCACCAAGAACAACATCGCACGTCTTTTCTTTACTTATGGTGTGTAGACTGGGATCAAGAAGGGGCCGATGAACATGCAAGTGAAAGAGCTCCTGATCACGCCGATATACGGCTGGATAGAGGCAACGATGCGGGCGACCGATCTGACGATCGTCCAGAACCGGGGCCTAGGGAGTCTTGTATATTCGCTCAAGATCTCGCTCGATCTGTGTATTGAGGTCCTCAACCGACTTTGAGTCCTTTCTTGGTCAACATCACAAACTGGGCTTCTGGCTCACTTTACCTCCCCCCCCTGAGAATCTCTTCTCGTCATAGTTATTTCTGGGCCATGTAGATGGACTTTTGTATGGTCAATCACATGGCGTCTTCTTTGGTCTTCTCTCTCCTGCTATACCTAGCTTTTGATATTCCCCTAGATTCCAGTAGGTCTGGTCATAAAGACTTCTCAGACACCCGCCTCGTAGCATGATCTTGCTGTTCTGAATCAGTCAACCTCGAGGTGTTCCAATGTTTATTGTAAATCTAATTTGTAGCTTGTTTTGACACAGGCTTTTTTTGGGTAGTTAGTCTGAAAGCTGGGGCACTAGGGAAAAAAACGCTGAAGACTAGGAAAGATTGAAGGAAAAAAAAATACGAGATGAATGAATGAATGACGGTGATTTGGAAAAAAAAAAAAGTGTGGAACACTATGGTGGGGGAACAAGCAAATTCAAATCGATACCGCCGTAAAAGACCCGCGTGGCCAAGTGGTACAGAATGTTCCAATGATAAAACCAAGCCTGGTAACGGATCTTAGGGGAAGGCTGATCGACATGAGGATGGGACTCAGGAACAAAGATGTGGTTGATCATGAGTAAGACAGCTTTAGGAGCACACGCAAGATGAGTGATCGAATCACGAAGAGCCGTGGGATGGATGTCTTCATGATCATCAGCCTCGTCGCGGTGGGCGAATCTGGAAGCAATAAGTCACAGCCAAGTGTATAATCACAAGGCAAATCATCATTACCCAATGAGGAGTAATGAAAAGTCCGATCCGCATTGGCAGCACTCGGACATCCAAGATTCCTTCCAGGGATGTATGTCCATTGATTGCTTGCCTCCCCGGCAAATAGAACCAAGTTGGAATCTCACCTAGAGCGAGTGTACCTTTACCTTGCATTTTCTTTCAGGGAAGTAACTTCGTAGGTCCTGACTGAGGAGAAATCTTCCCCAGGACTTGGGTGGTCTTATAAACAACATGCCGACCTGCCGGGTAACAAATCGTTCCTGATGGCCCAACAAGACTTGAGAAGTGTGACAGCTCGATGCAGAAATAAAGGCCATCGGCCTCATCAAAATCAAACTTCATGTCACTAACCTTTCCAAGTCCAACATGAATTCACCAAGACTGGATAATTGTGCTACTGTTGCGTGTGCTGAACATGTACTTTGTAGGATCACATTTTGCGTAACCGATACACAGAGATCTACAATTCATTATGTATTTCTGGTCTACTTATTGTTTCCAGATTCCGTCACGCGCCTCGTCGGGCTCTTCTGATAGATTAGACACCACGTTCTTCATGCTTGTCGCGATCGTCGATGTCATCGTCCGGAATTTCTCGAGCTCTCTCGTGCTCAGATCAGGAACCATCTGGAAGTTTTCTGTGTCTTGCGATATCTTGAGCAGCTGGGCCACAAACAGTCTTGATAGTTTGACTGCTGCTATCACCGATATTCTACAATGACTCATGGCCGGATGCAGCAGATGCGGTTGTCCTAATGACTCTGGTGTTGGCTCATCCTCCCTCGGATCTTCGCCCATCGAACGGCGAGCAGTATCCGCTTGATCTGGTGAGCGGGGTGGGGTCCAATTGTCGAATTTGACAAAGCTCGCCAGCGTCTCGCTTAAGGAATCTATCGTCAATCGCCATTCGTCTTGAAGAAGATTTAGCTCAGATTTGTTCATGAATGCAAGGGCCTCATCGATCGAATCCAAGCATGTCTCTGTCAATGTGATCACGTCAATTGTCTTCTGGGGTTCATGGTGGGCAAAGAGATGTCCAAACTGCTCCATAAGACGCCGATAGGTTGCAAGTAATGTACACAAGTGTCTATTGACCACGTATATTCTGATTGCTAGACGGCGAGATATGAACCATTTCAAATTTTCGAAGTCTTGGTCATCTCTGACTTCTGCGGGCTTCAAATCTGGGTTGATGCAAGCTATCGCAAATTTAATCTTGCCCATCGTGAGCTCGAGTTTGGCCAAGATTTTCAAGACCAGTTTCAACTTCGAAACGGGCGTGATCTTCTTGCGAAGAGCGGATCGGGCGAGAAGCGCTTTGGTAAGAGAATCAACCTGGCGTCTTAGGCTCGACAAGCGTTTGGAGTGCAGTTGATCTAGGAGCTGCTTTCGTATGTCGACTTGCTTGAAGATGACCAGTGGATCAGCCGGGCTGACGATCCCATGCCACAACGCCAAGTATCTATCGTAGACGCGTCCCAATTCCTCTGCGACCAAGACTATATATTATTTAAAAGTGAACGAAAAGGAATCCGATCAGTTATGACTTTCTTCCAGAACTTTGCTAAGCTTGCTGATTTGGACTAATAATTATAATTTATGGACAACATACCCTCAAGGTGTCGGATCTGCTGTGGACAGTCATCGGCTCCGAGCGAGCTGAACGAGCCGATCAAGCTAGATATCGCGTGTTCACGAGAGTTGGCCATATTGTCTGGACTGTCTGTCCCGGGTCAAGGGTGAACTGACTGCCCCGCGAGGATGAGCAGAGGGGAAGGTTACTGGGACATGGACAGAAAAACACTTCTTGGAGGTTCATAGACATGATGAGCTGCATAACTCCCTTGCTCCGGGCAGGCTGGAATCTCAACCATGTGCGGATGAGTGCTGGCGCCGACCGCAGGGAGAGACTTGTGGCTCAATTTAGTGCACCCAAATAGCCGGTCTGAGGAAACCATCCCTTCTATTATGTACAGGGCATCTTTAGCCGCTGAAGAAATTCTATGGAAGCTCGGCACCTACGCATAAGAAGCACCCCTGCCAGATACTTCGGCAGCCCCCCGAGTTCCCCCCCTTGAGGCAGTTTATTTTCATCAATGAAATTACAACAACAGTGAGCGAAACAAACAAATAAGAATGCAAGGAAGATTAGAGGAAGCAAGAATGATGTGCAAAGAATGTTTGGAACTCTGAACAGTGATGGATAGCTTACCCAAACAGAAAAAGTAGGTCAAGATGTGGGTATAGAACTGGATAAGGGAGAAGTTGTAGTCAAAGAATTATAATAACTAATACAAGATATGAGGATAATTATTTCTGGGAACCGAGGCCTGGACAGACACCCCTCGTAAAATATGATTGATTGATGAAGGTGTTCTAACGATCGATCCTGCTATGTCGAACAAAGAATTATCATTAATGTCTTGGAACGAGCGGAAGAAGTGAAGCAGAGTAAGGAATGCTGAGAACAGGAAGGCGATGAAGAGGCCAGGGGTGGGTGAGAAGAAAAGCTTACCGACGCGCCAAACAAAGTCAACACAAACTCTGTCGGGTTATAGCCACTTCAGAAAAAATTTCGCGGATTCAGACACGGGAACATCTTCCTCCTGGATTTGGCAGGTAGTTCATCGGGATCACTGGTTGTGCCTCGTTCGCTGCGCAAACTGGCGATTTGTTTCAGTTTGTGAAAACACGTTGTTGGGAGGAAGATTCCACGATGGGTCTGGTCGGGAAATTTTGGAGGCAAATTAAGGAAACGTTCAGGCGCTGCTTTGAACGGGTGATCATTATGATTATTATTGTCGATTTTTTCTGGTCGGAGAGTGCTACTGGATTTTTTCAATTTGAAGCTGCCGTGGTTCTTTTTCAGCTTGTTACTTCGCGAGCGTTTGCTCTTTCTATCCAATCCTTGGGCGTGGATTTCAGGGGACAATAGTTCGACTTTGTTGTCGAGGGCTGGATCAGAGGGAAGATGAAGATCGAGATCCAAGCCGATTCCATCCAACTTGGCGAGAGATGAAAAGAAACTCCGTCGGGACGCTACACTGAACCTAGGGCCATGGATTAAATGAGGGGAGGAGTGTTTTTGAGCTCGGTTGCATAGGCGAGCGTTGGGACCTTCACTGGCAAACGAGCGTGTCGGGCGGAGATTAGTGTGCGAATGATAACCACTGAAAGTTGATGGACTGCACTCTGGGCTCTTGAGGCTCGCCGATGACTGAGAAGAAGCAGTCGAGGATGTTGCAGTGGTAGTTTGTCGACCAGGTTTGATCGAACTTCCGAGGCCGCTAGCCTTAAGCGTCATGAGCTTGTCAAACTCGGCGTACGGCGTTGAGAAGCTCTGGCCACGACCACGACCAAGTGGACGGGGCCGATGGATGACACTTGATTTCCTGGAAAGAGTGGTGTGATCGGATTGACTGCCCAAGTTTATCTGCGCTGTTTGTATTGACTCCAATTCCCCGTCTTCACAGCTTTCGGTGGTTGCGGTAGCAGCGTTAGAAGTCTGTTCCAAGTTCTGCCTTGGCTCGACCGGGGCAGCCGCTCTCTGTACGGCATAACGCATCGAAACAGACCTAGGTGGGGGTATCAAAGTGGGCACTGTCTCTCCGGGTGGATTTCGACGGGTGGCAAAGCAAGAATGGGTAGAATAGCTGTGCTTGAGAGCCACAGACGGCTTGGAAGAAAGACTCAGTGGGGATACAGCAGTGAGACCGGGCAGGTCAGGGGAAGAATTGCTGGCGGGCTGCACTAGATCTGCCTTGGACTCCGGCTCGTCATACAGGCTTTTGACCCGCCATAGAGGTGTTGTGCCATTCGTCTGAGCTCTGAGAATTGGTTTTTGCTGGCTGTTGTTCCTAAGCTTATACGTTATCGGATATCTGGCACACTTCGCCTTGACGCTCTTGAGCGAATGGGAATCAGGATCCTTGGGGGGATCCGGCAGAATAAACGCACGTTTGTATTGCGCATCGTTCACCGCGTCCTGGGGGAGTCGAGGTAGTTTGAACAGGTCCTTCATCTGAGATTCGGAAGGAGAGCTCATGGACCGCATCGAGTCCGGAGAGAACGCATTTTCATTGGTTGGACCATGATGTACGGAACCACGAAGGGCAGCAGTTAGATTAACATCAATCGACCTGATCTTCCTGGGCGCCGAAGCTGACCGTCGGGGCAGTTTGGACTTTCGGTCCTCGATATTGCTCCGACTAGATGGGTTCTGCCCGGCCTTGGTCGGTGGAAGGGGAAAGGTAAACAAATCCGACTTGCCGCGTTCGAGCGTCGGCAGTTGCCTGAGGTATATTTCCATATTCAAATGGAGGCAAACTGTTCCAATTACGCTACCCCGGGTAAATCAAATAGAATGGCAAACTGATATCAGGATTGAAAAAAAGCAGCAAATCACACCGTTGGAAGCAGTGATGATATGCGAACTCACGCTACTTGATAGGACTAGCAACGGAATTTTAGATGATAAGAACAAGACGAGGGAAGTATGTATCAGAGCGGCGCGTAGGTCCGGAAAAATTGAGGGCGGGGGAATCTGACTCGACAAAAAATGAATGGACGATGTTTGAAGTACAAGGCTAATAAAGCTATATCAGCCAGGATATATGAAAAAGAAATCGGATAGGCGGACCAACGGGACTCGACTGGAGGATGAGGAGATCAAGATACGTGTGTGAGGTGGACTAGGTAAGAAGGGCAGAATAGATTAAGCCACACGGTGTCGGATAGGAGGAGAGGGAGAGAGGAATCAAGAACACCCGCCTCCACCCAAAACTTTTGTTGCAAAGCTTTTCAGACCGACTCAACCTTTTCCCAGCGCGTATACTCGTAGATAGAGATGGTAATCAAACCTGACCGAGACGTGTGCATTGAGCGCCATTCAAAGCGTCTGCAAATCTTCCTAATTGTTCCCAGGCCTCCGTGAGCCGCGCGTCTTCATCTGTCCAGATCATGTCCTCAACGGTCAACCTCGGTCGGCCATTCCAACTCTGCCAAAAAAGACGTGACTTGGGGGTGACAGTGTGAACGTCGTGCCTAAATAAATACTCTTTGCTTGTGGGTATGAGATCACATTATATACGAGGATTCTGTACGCCGTGTTACTGTTGATATGTGACTTGATGAACCTAACCTCCTGGCTCCTGCCGAGGGTTTATGTGTGTGTGCAGAGCGCTTAGCCAGTTTCAGCTGTCTATGTAGTGCCCCAGAACCAGCCTTTTATGTACTTTTATCTTTCTTGCCAACATGGCTCAAACTCATCTCTTCTGCTTCTCTTTGGTACATGCATAACAACCTCTATTCCTTAGACCAAGCAGGGAGGAAATCATCAGCTTGAAAAAGATCAGAAATAATTGGTCAACATTGATACTACAGTGCCCCTCACCACCTCTCCACCACCCCCTCCAAGGTGTTCCAAAGGTTTGGGTTTGAAAATTTGAAAAAATTTCAAAATCCCGGGGGGTTTCTCGGGGGTCTTGGAGGCTTCTGTACAAAAAAGACATGAAAAAGTCTCTTGCACTCCAATTTTGAAACCAGAATCAGTATATTCAATGGTTATTGGCAAAGATTCTTGCTCCCAGAAGCTCCAAAGAAAGAGGGAAGCACTTTTACCAGTTAAATTGACAAAGAAGATTCAATTGATCAATCCATCTTGGAGGAGGATGGGGGAACTGCATGTACTTGGGTATGTGTTTACAATTCACATGCTCTTTAAATGCATATTGTGCCCCCTATATACATATTATGGCTCCCTATATACATATTATGGCTTCCTAAAGCCATACCATGTGGTCCAGGGTGGGCTTGGACATGGTGTTCCAAAGTTTGATGCTCAAAAATTGAAAACTTTTTTTTGAGGTACAGTAGCAAGTTGTGGGTGACAAATTCAATTTTCCCTACTCCCGTAGGCCTCAGAAATGTGTAGTACATGCCCATTGAGGCACATGGGTCGGTGTACTCAGACTTCAAAGTTGAACTTTTTTTTTGCAGGCGCGGGGTGGTGGAGAGGTGGTGAGGGGCACTGTAGCAAAAAGTTACCATAATGATAACTTGTTAGTGTCGATGGACCTCAAACCTAAAATCACCCTTCCTTATGTCTTGTCTCTGTCTAGCTTTCTGTGAGTCATGGGACTGAAGACAGTCATGGTTGCTTTTTAATGTCTTGGCTCTCACTAATAGACTTGGTTCCATGTTGCAGTACATACTAAGCAGCTATTTTCATAGAATCAAGCTCCTTATCTGTTGTTTGGGCACAAGCCTCTCCCACATTTTCTGCAGCTGACAGAGAGGCTAAGCAAGCTAGCTGACCCATTAAGGGGGTTCACGTACTGCTGATTTTGAAATCAGCAGTCGAACTTTGCTGAAATGGTAGTTTTAAGGTTTATGGGAAACCAAGATAGTTTAGTGCAAGGTCCCCCTGTGGATTCAAAATCCCACATTTAAAGTTCATCAGGTTTGTGCATCAGCAAGCAAACCTTAAGCTGCATCAGCAGAGGTTTGGCTGGAACGTGAACTGCCCTATTAGGGCAGTACATGTTGCAGCCAATCCTTTGCTGGTCTTGAACAAGGTTTGTTTGCTGATGCACAAACTTCATGAACTTTGATTGTGGGATTTTGACTCCAAAGGGGAGCCTCCCACTAAAACTCTTTTGTATTGATATTCCCATAAGCCTTAAAATTACTATTCCAACAAAGTTCAACTGCTAATTCCAAGATCAGCAGTGAGTGAACCCCCTTACTGGGTTAAGTAGCCAAGTATACCTGATTCATCTGCCAAAATATTGGGGAAAAAGACTTATAAGTCCAACCCAACACAATTCTCAAGCTCAAAATTCTCCCATGCTACAACCTGTTGGGTTGGGTAGTTGTGCACCCCCACCAGCACATGACCCATATCTTGCTGCAGAGGGTGTATCTGTCAGTGTAGCACTGGCCAGGTGGATTCCTGTTGAAGCATAGCAAATGTGGAATCCCACCATGTTGGAACATCCTGAATCAACCCTTGCTCTTTGTGTTGCTGACAAAGGGTGATCTTTGCAAATGATGCAGCTTTTGGAGGCAAGTGTTTTAAAATTTAAGCCAGTCCTTTGATTTTCAAGATGATGGACCTGAATTCTACTGTAGCAGTCTGATTGTTGAGAATGTTCATTAGACCCCTGGTTAATGCTGTTGAAGGTGGTGATGATTGGGAGAGTGTTTTTATCCCAACTTGAGCACCTAGGTGAATCACATGGACCATGAAGCCCAGTTGGCAGTTTTCATTGTCAAAAGGAATCAGATTTGCTAGATGAGCTCCAATAGTTTGGTTGTTTGAAGCGTTATTGGAGGTGATACAGAAAGTTTGATTGCACAATTCAAACATATGCCTAAGTGGTGAGTGTGTTAGGTAGGTTATGTAATACATTTTTATTTATTGTGTAATGATAGAAGGGAGGAAATCAAATTGCACAATTCAAAATCTTTAAGTGTTGGGTGGTTCCTAGTGAGACTCCTAAGTGGTTTCCCTCAACAAGTCAAGCAGCCAGGACTATTGATCTGAGAGAGAAATCTGGTTCAATCCAATGTGCTGTAACTCCAAGTACAGAATCACTCCCTGGGGAAGTCCAACTTGCAAGTATCACAAGCTAGACTGATTTGTGATTAAATTCCACAGAGTTGATCACAAAGGAATTGCTTCCCCTGTTGAAAGTTTTTTTGAATGAAAATAGGTATTGTGTCTTTGGAACACATAAGTGCATCAACATTTGAGTTGCAGAGGAAAACAGTTGATGCAAATTTCTGTCTGAAACTGTCCAAAAAGAAATGTTGCAGGTCACAAAAAATCAAGCAATGGTGGAGATCAAGGAGTCCCAGTTAATTCTCCTGATGAAGCCACTTCTGTTGGTATCCCAGAATTTGGTCATGATTGCACCAGTGCTCTGTCTTTCTTTGTATAGGTGATGCTTTTGTTCCAAGGGATTTGACATACTTTTTTGTCAATTTTCTTTTGATGACCAATTATGTGTTTTTCACACAGTTCTCCACCTCCAACAGTCATTTTTACTTGACAAATATCAAAAGGGACTCCTCTGACGGTAGTTGGCTTGAAGTAGTGCTAGACCCAAGCTCTTCTTGGTTTTGTCCTGAGTTGGTGTTGGTGTCTTGGTTGGCATAGGTGTCACTTGTCCAATGATTACATCACTGTTGATGTACTGGGCTCTCAGTTTTATTGTTGGTAAATTTTGGTGGCATCTGGCAAGAATGGAGTGTGATGGATGAATTTTTGGATTGTCAAAGTCTGGGTGCAGCGGTGGGCCGCTACACTACGCTACGCTTTTGGCCCAAAAAGCGTAGCGTAGCGGCGCTTTTTTTTCATCCAAAAGCGGTAGTGTTAGCGTTTTTGTAGCGGTTTTTCGCTACGCTACGCTGCGCTACAGCGCTTTTAGCGGAAAAAGCGGCCAAAAACCGCTAAAAAGCGCTGTAGCGCAGCGTAGTGGGCCCTTTTTTGCGGCCCACACGCGTAGCGTTAGCGGTGTCGTGGCGGAATCCCGCTACGCTACGCTAAAGTTGCGTGGAATTCCGCTACGTTACGCTGCGCTAACCGCTACGGTTAGCGTAGCTGGCCCAGCGTTGCTGGGTGGTCTCGAAAAACTCCCGCATCAGTTTTTTTCTGACAAGACCCGGCATACCCGGCCCGGAGCCGGCGGGTACCGACATGCCGGGTTTTGATGTCGGATCCGGCAATACCTAACCCGAGGGCCCAGGTCGACTCCTTAAATCCCAGCGCAGGAAGCCAGCCTGACCTTCAAATCCTTCGAATAGGGCCCATGCCAATCCCCCTGTTCAGCCCTCTCGTGCTCTGGAGCTGTATCCTTAGCAGAAAAGAGGTGAAAGACAAACACAGAAAAAAGGCCTTTGAAGTTTGAACAGCCGGTGACCCGGGGTGCCGCGGGGCCCCGGCCACCGACCAGACGTTCACCCGGCATCTTTCGGGCGCCACTCGGCGCGGACTCTTTCATAACGAGAGGTTGACTCCAAAGTGGTGTCCCTTGGAAAAATCGGAAAAAATTGAAACTTCAACCGTCGGTCTAGAGTATGTGTTCTCCTTTGCATCCTCATGACAGCTTGAATTTGACGATGTTGTAACGAAGTTGATTTTGCCGATTGATTGTCTTTGTAGTGACGTAGTAAGAATGTCGAAGATTTTGGATCTTCCGGAAGAGTTATTCGAGGTCATCTTCACACTGCTCATTACCACGCCTACGCGCTGGGCTCACGCCTTACACCGAGCTTCGTTTGTGGCCTGTACAGCGGCTCGCTTGAGACTGGTTTGTCGACAATGGGCGGACTGGTTATATCAGCATCATTTATATCGGACTTTAACCTTCGACAGTGCCTCCCGGTCGTTGGCGTTTATCGAGTCCCTGCGTGGTCGTTCGAGATTGCTGCCACGGGCTAAATGTCAATACTTGGAGGTTGATTTTCTGTGGCCTTCCCAAAATCCTCCCCGGTCCGGTCAACGAGATATGATCACCTCGGACATCTTGGAAAGTTTGGTCGGACTCTTCTCGGATACGATTCTCACACTCGACCTGAAATTTGTCGATTTTTTCACGCTGCCGACTCGAACGATTGAGGCCATCGGTCGGATTGAAAGCTTGGATAGCCTTCAGCTCGATCTCTCTCGATGGCCTTCAGGAGACTTGGGATTACCTCCACCCGATCCTATCTGTTTTAACTCCTTGCTTCTCGAAGCTCAAGGGTTGAAGTCACTTCATCTGGCCTTACCCGTTTTCCTACCCACACTCGAACCAGGGCGGATGGTTGGCACTAGTCAGTATCCAGCAATTACTCATCTAGACGTCGAGGTCACTTGCCTGAGTCCAGATGTCATCTTGGGCCTTTCGATTGCACTCAAGCCCAGTCTCAAATTACTTTCGATTAATGATTTCGGAAGAAGTACGGATGCCAGGCTGCTGCTGCCGGTTTATGAAACCCTACGAGGAACGATTGAAGGCCTATCGGTGACGAGTACGAGCTCATTAACTCCCATCCTCGACCTCACCTTCCCTAAATTAAGGGTCTTTGCAGTCCATGACTCCCGGGATTCTCTCTCCGATTTATTGATTCGACATCTCTTTTCTCACGCTCCAATTGAGGCCATCGCAATCAGCTCTGATTCTGCTGAGGGCTCTAAACCCCCTTTCGCCCTTGATCCGTTTGCAAATCTACCTCAATTACAAAAATTGGTGTTTATGAATACTCCTTGCGATTATTCACCAGCACCTATGTATCTCAATGCTTGTCAAGTCCATCACGTCAGATGTATCTACCTTGATCATAATGACGTGTCTCTCATAATGGTTCGTCAATCCTTCATCTCTGTATGAACTTGCATTTTCTTTCCATCTATCCACTATAAAAGTGCAGCAAAGAAGAATAGCGACATTTATACTGACCTAGTCTGGCCTTTTCTGGGACATAGAAATTATGAATCCAGTCTTGATCTTGTATCATGTCTTGTTCTGGATCGTGTATTTCCTACTCAGCCCAACATGTAAAATTAAAGTTATCTGTAAACCAGTTTTTTCCCCTAAGTGTTAGGCAACCTTGATATTGTTCAAACAACCATGCAGCCTACTTCTGTTGAATTTTAGCTAGTTGTACCTCTCTATTTGTGATGTATGTATGTATCTGTTTCCTGTCTAATTAGAGATTGAATTTGTTGATCAGAGTGGGCTTCTGGAAATTGCATGTGCATGTATTTATCTACTATTTCAACTCCTATCCTTGTTTTAATTACCAAGGGAAACTCCAAAAATCCCTGATGTTAACCACTTGGATAAGCAGCTGTAATAGAAAATAAGCAAATGAAATGTACACAATATAGCTAATACAGCTTAGAGACTGGAGATAAAGGGTAATTGAAATTGTGGAACAAATTAACCAAGACTATGTATTTTTCATCATTTTTTGAAATTGGAATACATTTCCTACACTTTAAGAGGTGTCAAGTCTTATGGTAACATTAATTTTGCCTAAAAATTAAGGCTTTAATCTTATTCTTAATATATGAGCTTACCCCATTTCTTGCATAATTTGTACTGAATACAAATCTTGTTTGTATTCAAAATGGAAATAACCATCAACTTTGAAACCTCTCAAAATGAAGGAAATTAATATAAAATTTCAAAAATAATGAAAATTAAGCCTGCAAAAACTTATTGAAGAAGTATTTCAAATGTGATATTCAAGGAATAGTTTTCATTTTTATGCAGAGTGATTATTACATTATCTTTAAACATGTCTCAAGTTGTAGGAAAAGAATTTAAAATGCCAAAAACTGACAAGAAATAAGCTGTAAAAATTAATGGAAAAAATATGTATAATTTTATGAAAATTAGATTTGCCAAAACTTAGGGAATAAATTTAAAATTTTCAAAAATCATAAAACCAAGTTGTAAAAAATGAACACCCCACCAAAGTGTGTCTAAACACAGAAACGGTGTGCGTTGCGTGCAGCAAAAACTGTGTCTAAACACTGAAAAACCATATTTTTTATTAAAGCCCTTAAAAAAAGTATAAAGCCCATGGATGATCCAAATACACACCAAACCTAAGCCAAATCACAAATCATGATTTGTAGCCAAACAGGGCCTAAGTTTATCTTGCGTTCTTGGCTTTCCAATTAAAATTTAATGCAAAACCATTACATATTGGTTTGTAGATTTCCCATAATCCAATAGTAAAATCTGATATCCCTTAAACCGATTGTAAAATTTTATTTCTTGACTTCTGGAATGGGTTCTTGGTCTGTGCCCATTATTTGCTTGACTGATAGGAAAAAGGACAGCTAGGCAGAAACCTCAGGCAACTTGATTTGTGCATCCACAAGGTCTGGAAATCTTGAAATTGTGGTTGTCTTGGGGTTTCCCCCTGTTGACACTACAAGCAATACCCATCTTGCCCCAAAAATAAATGGCAATTTGGGTGGGGGAAAATGTATCAATTTTCTGGAAATTTTTTCCAAAATGCCTCAGGAGTAGAAATTAGGCTAAACTGAGCTATTTTAGCCCAGAGATAGAAATTCATCAAACATTCCAAAATGAATTTTTAGCTGATTTGAGACATTTTTATTTTTTGGCTAAAATAGCTCATTTTAGCCTAATTTTTTACTCCTGAGGCATCTTGTGAAAGAAGTGCCCAAAAATTGATCTATTTTCCACCATCCAAATTGCCATTTTTCCTTGGGGCAAAATCAGTATTGTTTTTAGTGTGAGCATAGCATCAAACAGCCTGCATACCAAATTTATTTGTCTGTGGACAGGGCCCTACAGGTCTAAGCCATTGGCAACTTTGCATTCCAAAAAATCCTGTTTTGAAATTAGAGATGGCCCAGAAGTAACCTTCACCCATTGGCAGTTACCCCCCATCCCTGATGGTACCTGCCAAGTGGCTCCCGGTGCACTACCAACACTGGGCCACTAATTTACACTGCGCTATCTACATTGTCCACTAATGTAGTTGCACTTGATTGCTTCACTGATACATTACAATTATCTGTGGTGGCTAATTTTTCTTCTGGCCAGTAGTGTAATGATGAAGTTTTTCTCTGTAATGAATGGATACAGGAATGAATTACCACGTTATCCAGAAATTAAGCAGCCCTGAACACATTTCAAGTGGCAAAACACCTCCTTTTTTTAGGATTTGGCAGCAATCACATGTCTCACCAATATATAGGGGGTTTTCAAAAGAAAATACACAAGTTGCTGATAGTGTAATGAGCATGAAAAGAAGTCCTTAGACAAAATAGAAACAATTTCCAAACATTATGGGGAAAGTAATGATAATGAGTGGAAACTCACAAATTTATATTTATGCCACCATTAAAGGTAATGTAAATACCCAGTGTTGGCAGTACCTGGTGTCTGGTTTTGGCTAAAAAAACATATTGATACCGGGGTATCCTCAAGGGTACCACTTCAAGCCCCCCTGTCTAGCCACCCAATAACTGGGTACCTGCCACAGCTCCAGGTACCTACACAGCTCCAGGGCATATTTTGGATATCAGGAAGTACCACCAGTGCCAGCCAGATGGCAGCGGGTGCAGTACCCGGTGCTGGTTTTTGGCTCACTGGGTCCCACAGGCCATCTTTGATTGAAATAGAAACTTATGTCCTCCATTCACCTCATCTTCTAGCAATCTACTTTATGATTTATGTGTACATATTATGGAATTAATATTGATACTAAATTATGGGGGATCACAATGGTGTTTTTTGATTCTTGAATGCTTGTTTATAAACTCAATTAGTCTAATTTTAGCTTGAAATTGATTTAACTTTAGACCCACTTATTTATCTTGGCAGCTATCTGCAACCACTACAGGTTGCTCAGATGTTTGTAAGGGCTAAGTACACTCCCTCAGAAGAGTTCATGTGTCTTGCTTGAACCTCCAATTAGATGTGAGGTGAAAAAGGCTTGATGCAGCAAGTTGAAGTTGCTGCTCAAGAACTGCTATATTTGGGTTTGTTGGAATTTTGGCCTCTTCTTGCTCTTATATCCTCTTTTCCTTTCTAATTCTTACTTATGCATCTATCACTAAGTTCTATCTTATCATTAGGATCTACCCATTCATCCTCTTGAATCCCATCTCATTATAGTCTGTCCTATCTTCTTAGTTATGAAGTCTGACCCAGCTTGTAGTCTGAGAACCCTGACTGAGGAGGGCTTATCTTCTCTCTAGTGAGTCTGCTTATCTTGACTTCTTGGGTGGAGATATTCCATTTCTGGTGTCTGTGGTTGTGCCCTACTGTTTTTCATAGAATATTCCTTTTTATTGCTATTCATTATCAATTTTTATTCATTTTATTCTCAACCACATATTGAGCTCTTGTAGTTAGTGTATTTATGATGAGCCTAATACAAGGAATTAAAACCATTGGTTCTCCTCCTTCTTTTGGCACTATGAGCCTGTTCCAGTAAAACATAAAAATTACTGCCCTATATTCTTAAAAAATGAACTGTGTCCTTAGCCCAAATTTTTCCCCAACTGTTAACCCTGCAATGTGTTGTTCATTTTCAAGGAAGGTTGAAAAAAATCATCAGTGAGGCCTCATTTGGCACCAATATAATTGAGCAATATTGTGTTAATTCTCGTGACATCTGATCAAGTTTTGGCAGGCCTGATCAGATGTCAGGCAAAAATCTTCATATATCACTCACATTATATCACTGCCAAACAAGGCCTGAAAACAGCATACAGCTATTTTGGAAAGGGTTGTCCAGTTGTCTTGCATTTTTTTTTTTTTTGAAATTTTTTAAATTTTTCTTTGTATATACTGAACTACAGCCGAGGAGGTACAGCTGTCATCAGTAGTTCAGTTCTGACAGGTCCAGTTCAGTAAAAAATTAAAAAATTGAAAAAATTAAAAATTAAAAAAGAATTCGCGAGTCCAAGTGGACAAGCCTTTCCAAAATAGTGTATATAATTGGAGGACTTTTGATTGTCTAAATTTGTTAATTTAGAAGGAAGGTCCAAAGCTTATTTGCTGGTGAAAATCTTTTGAACTCAAGATTTCACCAGCAAACAAAGTTTAGTTGATTTTACAGCCCCCTGTATTAGAGCTATTTTTACAGGCTGTAAAACCATTTCCCAGCAAAAAAAAAATGAAATTTACACCCTGTAAAACTGACAGGAAGTCCTCCATTAAGAGCATTCGCATTGGTTGGGTTAAATTGCCGGGTTAAGGCAAGTTAACCCGACCAAGCCTGTTTGCGCACTCGCATTGATTCAAGGTTAACAGCAGGTTAGTTAACCAAAAGTTTGATTTCAGGTTTGCGGTCGCTAAATTTAGCAATCGCTAACCAGAAATTTAGCGATTTCGCGGGGAGTTGTCCTCCAGGGGTTTGTTAACCCAGACGGATGCGTTTGATGACAGTAGGCTAGCAAACCCGGACCTCCCACCCGGGTTTCCTAGCCTAAAAGTTAACCAGACCAATGTGAATGCTCTAATACATTTGTATCATGAAAGTGCCCAGGCAAAAATTTCAAACACAGGGACAGTTGGCATAGGTTGTCTCAGCTTTTTTGCACGTTGCACTTCAAACCTGCATAATCTCCTGGCTCAAGCAGCAGCTGCCTCGCTCAGTTGGATAACGTGGGCTCTGCTTCACCACCTCCTACCACGAACTTAACACAAGGTCCCTCCGAGGAGGTCGCGTAGCGACCTCCGAAGGAGGGACTTGCATCGAAAGTGGCAAGTCTCACCCTACAGAGTCCAGCCAATTGGCTGTGAGTAGCTCCCCCTCCCCGATAGCACCCACTAGCACTCATGTACCCATCCCGCCTCTGGTACCATTGAAATCGCAAGGCTTACAGGATAATTATTGTATCCTCCAAATCTTCAATATCTGTTCCTGTTCCTGAGAATTGTCCTGTAAAGTTGGGGCTGTGGAAACTATCTGTAAACAATCCGGCTTTTTCAAAGCCGGATTTTCCACCAAAAGATCCGGTCATGAATGTGTAATTCGGTGAAGCATAGTATGTGAGATAATGTCACATGAGTTTTTTTCATTACACATCATCTAAAAATACTCTTATACTTAAGCGATGGTGAGGCATTTGAACGCTGAGAGATCTAATGCCTGCCAATACAAACACTCACTATTGAAAACCAGATACTATGCAATTGCGCAGAATCCGACAGGAACCCGTGAGAGGGTCCACGATCTGATGAAGTCGGATCCGAATTGGATCTTGGCAAAATTCAGATCATCACCAGCTAAAAACATCGGAGGGACAATGGTTTTAAGGCAAAAAATTACAAAAAGGATCGGTCTGAGAGCTGAGATGATAAAGTACAATTCTGCCTACTCAGAATTACGAAAAGTTGAAGAGTACATTTTTAAATAATTTTCGAAGGCAAAATAAGCGTTTTTTTCGCAGAAATCTCATTTACCTTGAGTCATCGGAGGGGCTTTGGAGGTAAGCCTCTCCTTCGGAGAGCGTCCCTTCGGACGCGGGGTCCCTTCGGGACCCTCCGATCGCGAGGCTTATGTTAAGCTCGCTCCTACCAGCCACCCCCAGTGTTCGAATTGCCCACAAGACGCACTGCCCCGATGCTCCTCTGGATGACCATGTACACCTTGGCCCTCCCTGGCCTGCTGCGCGCTCAGGGGCTCCAACTCCCTCCAGCGGACTCCCCAGCCTGCATCCATCTGCAACGAGAGCCTGTGGAAACTACACTCCCGTGCCCAATCCTGTACAACTGCCACGATGGCCATCGGCATGTCTGCCAAATCGAACTGAATGCTTCAGGCCAACGCTGTACGGGGTGCGGCGATGTCGACGATGAAGAGTACCTCGAAACCTGCCGTCTAGGGGCGACCACCCACCCCACAGTGCCATGTCCGGGACACTAATAGCACACGACCGGTCTTCATCTCCTCTACCTTGCGACAAACGCACCTGGATCCGGGATACCCCCCCCTTTTGCTGCATAGCATCAAGTGCCTGCAATCGCCTAATCAAGTTTTGGCACCCCCTTCCCCTCATACACTCGATCTGAAGCTCGACAAATTTTCTCACGCTACTGATTCGGCCGATTTAGGCCATACTAGATCGGCTCGAAACCTGGGATAAGCCTTGTCGCTTCCACCAAAATCTCTCGGCGGCCCCCAGAACACTTGGGTTTACCTCCACCTAATCACGTCTGTTTCAATTCCATCGTTCTCAAAGCTTAAGGGTTGATGTCAACCAGCACGGGCATCATTCTAACTAGGACAGATGGTTAAACTTGGCATTGCATGGTCATATCACTTAGAAGTAGACTGAGTCCACCTCTGATTCCAGAGCTTTCGATTGCAATCAAGCTCAGTCTGAAATCGCTCTTGATTCGTGATTTCGGAAGGAGGGGGACGGATCGTGACCATAACACCCTGCGAGGAACGATCGAAGGCTTATTGACGACGAGTTCGAGTCCGACCGAGCTCATGATCAAGAATCGCATCGCAATCAGTTTGGATTTTGCTAAGGGCTCTAAACCCACTTTCACTCTCGATCCGTTTACAAACCTACTCAAATTACAAAAAATCAGTGCTGATGAATGCTCATTATGATTATTCAGCAGCACCTAAATATGTATCCCAATGCTTGTCAAATGTGTCCAGACACCTTGATCATGATGAAATATCTCTCTTGGTGGATTGACAATCCTTTTACAAATCTGCATTTCTTTTCCATCTATACAAAAAAGTGAGCCCATCAAAGAAGATAACCAATCAAGAGTCTGACCAAGTCTGGCGTTTTCTAGGACCTAGAAATTATGGTCATGGTTCAGGATGCAAGTGGGCCGGGTTCGGGCCGAAAAACAGTGCCCAAACCCGCCCCGCAACTTACCAAGGGTCGGGGCGGGTCGGGTCAGATTTGAAAATAAGTTGTCCAAACCCGCCCCAATGTTAAGGCAGCCGGGTCCGGGGCGGGTCCGGGGCGGGTCGTGTCTGACCCGAGCAAATACAGCACTGCAATCCCAATCCGTTTCTTTCTCTTGAGTCGTTGTGTGTATATACTGTAAGAAACATATTTATAAGGGTAGAACAGACTGATCGTGTATATTTGGCATTTCGTTTGTGTATAAATATAAAAGACGATCGGATAAAAGAAAACATTTCGTTTGTATATAAATATAAAAGACGATCAGATAAAAGAAAAGAGGGCTCAGGCATCACGTGTATAAAAAGAAATAAAATGCAGAAGAAAATGGAAGGTTGATTTGCAATCTCAGTCGATAAGTTTGACTTCATCATCGTCTTCCTCGTTCTCTTCAGGGTTGTTGGGGCCCTCGTCGTGCCGGATCCAATCCTGGCCACAGACAAGAGCCTCAAGCCTCTCTGGCTTGAGCTGGCTACGAGAATCACTAGTACAGTCTACTACTAGGACCATATGGTCGGGTCAGTGGGCATAATACGGGCCGACCCGAGCACAAGTTGGGAGGTCCATACCCGCCCCGCTGACCCGTCGGGTTATTCTCGGGCCGGGTCGCTTTTCGCCCAGTACATGTCCAAACCCGCCCCACTACCCGGCGGGTCTCGGGTACCCGCCGGGCCGCCCCGGCCCACTTGCATCCTGAGTCATGGTCTTGGTCTGGTACCATGTCTTATGCTGCTAGTCTTGCATAAAGTTAAGGGGGTTTGGAAAGCCCAAACTCAAGACCCTGAGAATGCCCTGGGGCACCCTGAAGCTCTGGGTCTTGACCTTTTTTTTTCTGGGTACTGGCCGATTATATCAAACAATCCAGACTCTAGCCCAGAAGCATCAAAAAGGCACTGGAGCCTCAAGGAGTTGTACCAAGCATTCATCAGCCCTTCCTGATTTACATTGCTATCATAATCAGTCTTTAGACTGGGTCTGCGTGAATTCCGCTGCGTTACGCTACACTAACCGCTACGGTTAGTGTAGCGGCCCACCATTGCAATGGGCCAGCTAAGCTAACCATCATCATTATATATTGACTTTTTTTTTCAAAAACCTGTCATTTTTTAAACATGTTAGTTATTTGTCTTCCACCTTTGTGAAGAAAAATATTTTTGGATGATTGACTGGTTTCTAATGGTGGATTTCTTATACTTGATACCCCCCCCCCCTATTCAATTTGTCCTACTGAAACAACATTGTGTCCAAATTGGGAAACACTAACACAAATGGGCAAAATGAAATCAGATTTATGCAAGGATGAAATGTTTCACAACCATTTGTGTACAAGTGTGAGACATGAGAATACCCAAACAGTTTTTTTATCAAAATTTAATCAGCCCAATCCAATACTTTTCCCTCAGAGTCAAAAGCCACTCAAATCTCACACATCTCTTTCTGAATTTCAGAATTTTCCAGTGAGTTTATACAACTTCAAAAATGAGGTGCTCAACGTGAGGCAAACAAGTTACCCCTGGCATGTTTTCTATTCTTAGGCATGAGTTGATTTATCAACTGATTGTCATCAATTGGGCCAACTCTCTTACACTATTCAAGACTAATCTGTATGCCTCACTTTGCTTTCATCCCTGACAAAATATCAGCTTTACAAGTCTAGTCTTTGTGGCCAGGAGGGATTCCTCCAGGCTATGTCTTGAAATTCTCAGGGATTTCAAGTCTAAAGAAGTCTTGATGCCCAAGTCAAATACCTCTCAGTCATCAAGGCTGTATTCTCTTGGTGGCTAGGAGGTATTCCTCCAGGCCATCAATTGATTTTTGGGTTCTGGGTTAAAACCCTAGAGCTTAAAAGTTTGAACTCAGAAACTCTGTGCAATGTGAAAATTGTGAGAAAAATTGATATCATGGCACTTACACACATTCCACCCATAACAGTTGTAATAAATTCATAAATACCTGAAATATCATAACTGCCATTTCCCCCTTGCGGAACTGCCACCCATCCCAAAGGACTTATCACACTGCCAGTCTAGGATGTTAAATTTTACCTTCCAAACTCTAGATTACAAATCTTGTTTGCGGAATGACATGCAATTCTCATGACTAAATTGGGTTTGGGATCTAGTATTAGACCCTCCAGATCAATGGTTAAAGATTAGCTGGGAATCCTCGAATGGATTTTTTTTGGAGAAGATCCACTTTCTGTGTGTGCTAAGTTTGGTTTCTTGGCTGGTTCAAGATGCAGTTTAAGTATGAATATTCCCACAAGGTAGAAATTGCCCCACTGGCCCAGTTGATAAGACTCACCCTTCACATCAACACCTTGTACTAGGCACCTCCTGTGTTCAATCTGCCCTCAAGACAAACACATTTCACAGAATCACAGAATCATCTGCCACCATGCTCATCGGTAAGGCACTGTGCTTCCTTGCCACACCCTGCCTGCTGTTGGCCCAGGCAGTGTGGGTTCAGCCAGGCCATCCTGCCCCGGCACCTGCCTGTCCCCACCCTGTCAGATATCCAGTGTATGGGGATCTCCCATGCCCGGCTCTCTACACTTGTCACAACGGACATCAACATCAATGCAGCCATCCACTGGACGGTGGGGCCCAACGATGCCGCTATTGCAACCATGACGCCGACATTCAGTACCATGTTAACTGTCCACATGCCCCCCACCCCAACAGGCCTTGTCCATATCAATAAAAATCTGTAAACAGTTTCAAATGGGACAAATCTAGAATGGCTATCATAACCAACTCTCAACCCTGATAAACCACACCTGCAGGAGAAAACCCCCTTTTTTGATGCACAACATTCAACACCTGTGATTCCCCGGACCCCAACCCACTCATGTGATATCATCATCCTGCTGGAAGTGGTGGCAAATCTGATGCCAAGTCAAAGGAAGGAAGTAGGAAGGAAGTGGATCTTGGGGCTCAAATTCTGTCTTGCACAGTTTTTGATTCATGCTTGTGGGAAGACAGATGTCCAACTGTTGCAGCTGGTTTACAAAACACTTCCCCTCAATTACAAAAGTTTTTGTTTATAAATTCTGCTTGCAATTAGTCACCTAGACTATGTCTCATGTAACATATTGACAAGTCTGGGATAATGGTCTGGGTCAGAAGACTCCTGTCCCATTGGACACTGTAGTCTGTCACTACCAGAGAATCAGACAATGAAGTGGCTTGTTTCTTCTCCTCAAGACTTGTCATACTTGAATTTCTATCCTTGGATCTCTGTTCCATGCTATGCAACAACTATTATACATTTCTTTGTGTTCAATAATCATGAGAGAAGAAAAAAATAGCAACACTAACTACAGTAGTACAGCAGAAGTAAAAAATTGAGATGACTGATTGATTTATAAAGTGTGATCTTATCCTTTTGTTGAGAGTAGTATTCAACACACAACATATATGGTCAATGTATCTTGTGAGTGCAAGAAACATCTCAACCTAGTTTCAAGTTTTCATCTGGATATTGAGAAAATGAAAATGATGATTTGACTAGCCTACAAAAGATTGTCCAGTAATAACACTTAGCAGCTCATGACAAACGTTAAAATATTTAAATAGATTGATGAATGTTCAGGTCATGAAGTGGCTCATCTCCTTAGAAGAAGATTCACAGGGTGAACAAATCCTACGGACTTCCTTCTCATCATTCATACTTACAGCTAAACTGGTCAGACTCTGTTTTTTGTTTTATTTTTTATGCCTTTTTTTGTGGTTTGATTTGAGGTATTACTACCCGCTGTGGAGAAGCAGTACATAACGGAACCAAAGAAATCGACTCAAGATTGATCAGATTAAATGAAATAGGAAGACTAACTAACATGAGCTCAACAGACATTCATTGTACTTCAATTTCTGCTTTCATTTGTTTGTGTATATCTCCACTGTATAACCGACCGATAATTGTACAAGAGTGTGGGGAGGGTTGGAGGTGTAAGAGATGAGAAAGAGAGGCTTATCCGCGACGTTTTTTAGAGTCTTGAGTGTCTTCGTCTCGGGTTTTGGAGCTTCCTGCAGAAGGCTCTAAGCCTCGTTTGACACCCTTCTTGGCCTCGTCTAAGAAGGCATCGATCGCGAATGGATCGGAAGCCATTAAGGTCGTGTCTCGCTCGAATTGGACAGGTCTGTGAACGACAAGGAACAAAAGTAGGTTAAAAAGATTTATATTCATGAGACTGTCAAACAAGAATATCGGTCAAGTATAATCAATGATCATCTTAAACTTACCCATCACGCGACTCTTGAAGTTCAGCACCTTCAAAGCCTTTGCCAGCCACACCCAATCCAAAACGGTCGTTCCGCATAGCATGGCTAATCCCTTCTTCGGTTCCTCCGCCATATCGTTCGTCGGTGTTCGCAGGGGGCTCATCATCAGCGGCTGCTCCGCCACGTTTATAGATGGCAGCGGCAGCAGAAGAGCCCGAAAAGAGGGGCCGATCGTAGAGGTTATAAGAGTCCTCATCGCCGAACGAGCCGTTGAGTTTCTCCTGATTAAACAGACGGGAATCGATCATCGACTCCTTCGAGATCGTCGGCTTGGCCAGACCTAGCGCGATCTTCTCCCCGATGTCCCGGTTCTGGGTCCGCGCGAAATGCTGGGCGCGTTTCTCGTTGCCCATGTTATTCATTCGCATCTCTCGTTCTCTCTCCTTGCGGCGCTCCTTCCTAAG